CATTCAACCTTGATGAGGATGAGGAAGTTGATGATGTTGATGACCAACCAGGTGACCTATAATTTCTTTATAATTTGGATATATCAACAAATTTGAAATGGTAAATTGGCCACCGTAATGATTACAAAAGCTGATGTTTCAAGCGTTAGCTCTTCGTCGGAGCGAAGGGCTGACGCTCGAAACGTCAGCTTTTGTAATCGTTATGGTGGCCAATTTACCATTTCAACTTTGTTGATATATCCAAATTATTTTGTTACCACTACCAACGCAGCCCCAAACAGTTTCTTTTAATTAGAAACTATCAGCCTTTATAATTTCTTTACCCTTTAACTCCCAAGATGTGCTTGCTAATTCTCCCCTCCTGCTGCTACACATTTCCCTGTAATTTAGTTTTGAGAATTTGGTGTTAGATCAAGATAGCAACTTGTACTACTTGTACAACTTAAATCTAATTCTCTCCACTCATTCAAAATGAAACTGAAAAAAAAATTCATGTGTCTGATTTATTAGCTTAGAAATTCTTTTAGTAATTACGTATCTTTATTCACATATAATTTTTATTTTATCTTTAAACACATTGTTACACACTTTATCATATTTAACCATACTTCATATTAGTTAAATTAAGTATTAGTTAACCTATATTTGCCTTCATTGTATTTTACCTTCGACCCTGGCCTTACTGTTACTGGTAACTTTTTTTTTTTCTTTACTCTGAGGGAGCCCAATATCTTTAAGCCCCATGGTTTCTCTTTGAGGTTCCTCGCCACTTTTATTTGTTTTTGTGTGACTGTCTTGTTTTTGTCGTCATTTGCATTTTATAGTGAAAAATATTATTTGTATTTTGTGGTAAAAATAAATAAAGATAAAAATACTCGATAAGTGTGAGTATTGCCATGACCTGTTTGGTGGATGATGTGAGAAGGAGAAGTGGTTCAACATAATATTGGAGGAAAATTTGTAATTCTGGTTTGTAAGGTGGTATTTAATTCCTGATCCAAAATGTTGTTAGTTGTGTGCGTTTTGGGCCAGACACAGGAATTCAAATCTCGAAAGTGATTAACATGTAACTTCAGCTTGGATCTGAGAATACATTGGAACCTCGATTTAAAGAACTCCTATATATTAACAATTCCTCTGTTTAACAAACGATACTTCAGTTTCACCCTGGCTAAAGTTGCAGTAAAATGTATGCCACAGAACCTCGATATAACAAACCCTTGGTATAACAAACCAATTTCCCCAGTCTCTTGGCTCTTAGTTAAATTGAGGTTCCACTGTACTTAAACTTATCAAGTAGAAGTTGTTATCTTGATCTGCATGTCCATGTAACACCAAATTCGCGAGACTAAGTTACGAGGAAATGTGTAGCAGGTAGAGGGGAGAATAAATTGTCCAGCCAGAAGTATGTAAAATTATGCCAAAAAAGAAAAAAAAAAAGAAAAAGGAAAAAGAAAAAGGAAAAAGAAAAAAAAAAGCTGTCAAGGAAACTGAACAGAATACAAGGGTTGGTAGAGGGGGAGGAGTTGTAAAAACAAAAAATGTTACAACTAAACCAAAAGGGGCCTGAAGACGATTGGACAACTGAAACTTCCAAGAATGATTTTTTTTTTTAGCACTTACCAGTAACCTTGAATGTAAGGATGTGCTGATTTTATTAATTTTCAAACAGTTGTCCCACTAAAGAAGAAAAAGCTTGGAAAAAATCCAGATGTGGACACATCATTTTTGCCAGACAGGGATAGAGAGGTACGTGAATATGTAAACAAGAAGTTAGTTACGGCAGGTGGAACAAGAGCAGGGATCAAAATTAATGCTTGTAAACTCCACAAAGTGCGTGTGATTTTGATAATCTGTGAGTGAAAAAAATATCCACTAGCAAATGTTTGGTAGCTAGAATCATCATGTCTCCCAAACATTTGGAGAAAGCTGTACGAATGCAAGAATAAATGTACACACTACATCTAAGGAAAATAAAACAGCAGATGCTGAGCTCTTTGTTAGTC